AAGTGGTTATAGAGCTATTGTGAGATCACAGATCTCTCCTGCTCCAGTGTTCCTTCCACTAACCCTTAACTGTGTCTTTACAAGGTCAGACCTCTCTCCAGCTGCATTGCTGTCTAGAGCCCTAGACTAATGTAAGTAAGTAAATCAGGTTGTTTTTGTTTTTTAATTTACGGTTTATCTCCAAATAGCTAGACATTTAGTTCTAGATATCTTGTCTTAGGTAACCTTTTCTTTTACAAAACTATTGTTTTCAGAGTGCACTTTATATGGGTGAATTATTACATGAAAAGATTGGGTGACAGGAAACTGATTAGCTGGATTTTTCTATATAATCTAACTGTGGTATGAAATGGATACAACCTGTTTAGGTGATCCTGCAGTTGATTTTTAGTTGTTTGTGTTATTTATTGCATATAATATCAGAAACCCAATCACATCTCTACTTTAGAAAGATGAATCTGAATTCAAATATATGTGTGAGTATAAGCTCTGGCTGCTTATTTATCTGAACAGGAAGTTCAGTTGGTATACATGGATTTGTGAGGGACAAGGAAAGACATGTAAAGAAAATACTGATTATACAGTTGGACATAACCATTTTGAATTTAATGTGATGTGCTTCTGGCACCTAAGTTTTCTGTAAATATTGGTTTATACTACTCACTGATTATTTCTTCCTTAAATTGCTATGTGTATTGTCTTTTGTTTCTTAGCAGTGCTTTTTCACACCACAGGTTCTGCCGGTAACCTAACTTCAACAAATGACATGGGACTGCTATTTTATAATCTTATCTTAATGATTAGGAAATAGTAAAGAAAGAATCTTTTCTTGGTTACTTAAGGTCATTCTTATAAACCACAAATACTGTCTTCTGCCATGTAGAGAGCATGTGATTAAGCCACCAGAGGCTGTTAACATTTGATTTTATTTCTCTCTACAAAGACTGATTCTGTTTTAAGTGAGTATGATTTCTCCCTTCATCCCCTGCACCTCCATCCTCATTGTTAGCTGTTGTGGCTGTAATACTCCAACTAGCCGTTGAACTAGTTAACTATACTCTGGAAATGTCTTTTCCATTTCTAGAATGAATTTGTAGTTTAATGTGTATATGAATATAAAGATAACTTGAGTGTTCTGTGTAGAACAGAACTCTGTTTACCTTTAGACAGCCCCCTGACATGAGCTCTGGGAATCTGAACCATCTGAAGTGTGTGGCGATGTTTGTGGCTTTTACACAATTTTTCATTTTATAGGACCGCAGCCAACTGCTGCTCTTGTAGTGTACATTACTGTGTCATATTTCATATGTTTATATTGTAAATGACATATTAGTTAACTAATGTGGGTGGGGGAATATTGATTCATTGATGCCCTCAGATATATCCCTGATTTCTCATATAGTTGACCTTTATTTTCCAAGGAATTAAAATATTTGATTAGGCTCATGGAAGAAATGCGTGATTTAATGAAAGAGTATGATGCCATTGTATTAGTCTTTCTGAAGATAAAAGTATATTTGGAATCAAAAGAAGCCAAATTTTTAATCAAATTAGTAACAAGTTAACAGTGTGATATATCCTCAGTCAGCCATTGGGAATTCTTTTTTGTAATTATGTGTTTTCATAAATAAATTTTGTTATTACAAGTAAAGAGAAAGACTAATTATTGTAACTTAAAATGACACAGTAAGACCAGCAGCATTTTTTACTTTAGTCTCCCAAATACACCATTAAATCTTCATGAAGTTGTATGTTTAATAACCCATCTCCAAAAGAAAGAAAAAACCATCTTCACTGTATTCCTAGTTACTTTTCTATTTTTTTCTTTGTACCTGAAACCGACCAAATTCTTGGAATATTTTCTGTGACTATTCCTTTTCTTCTCCCTTAAATATATTTCAGTTTTGTTTAAAAATTAGTAAATATGTACATATTTAAAGGTACAATATAAAGTTGCATTGCTACTCTAGTACCTGCCATATGCCCAGTTTTCAATGTGCCCCCCCACCAACACAAAAGTGTATAAGCGCCCCATCTCATTAATATTTTAGCATTCCTATGGGATTTCTTTATGCATATTAAGCAAATATAGTAGCGCCCCCTTTTGAGGAGGTATGTTTCAAGACCCTCAAGTAGATCCCTGAAACCTCAGATAGTACTGGACCCTATATACCATGCACAAGTTTATTTTTCCCTCTGCAGAATTTCAGATAGAAGATTTGTTCTTACTGTATATCTTAGCAACCTCAGCATGATGATGATGATGATTATTATTATTACTGAGAACTTACACCTTTTCGCTTAAAGGAAGCATTTTACTGCTTTTGGCATATTCGAATTTCTGGCATCACTACTCTTGCACCTTGGGGCCATTATTAAGTAATGTAAGGGTTACTTGAACTCAAGCATTGTGATACCATGATAGTCAATCTGATAATCAAGAAGGTCCAGTAAGGAAAGGGTGGATGGCATATGCAAGATATGTTGGACAAAGGGATGATTCACGTCCTGGGTGGATGGAGCAGGATGGTGCCATATTTCATCATGTTACTCAGAACAGTGAGCAATATGAAATTTATGAATTATTTATTTCTGGAATTTTCCATTTAATATGTGACTGGGTAACATACTGTGAAAAGGGAAACAAGGGAGAACCATTTTGTGATAAGATAAAAATGCTTATCACTTCCTTATTCTACATAAAAGTAAAGCATATTAGTTATACAATTACTGCCTTTTTACTTTTTGTTCTCAGATCTTCATCAGCACAGAGAGAGTCTCCTCAGTTCTTTGTGACAGCCACCTTCTATCTGCTTTTTTTGAGACAGATTCTCACTGTGTTGCCCAGGCTGGAGTGAATGGCGCATTTTCAGCTCACTGCAACCTCTTCCTCCTAGGTTTAAGCGATTCTTGCCCCAGCCTCCCAGGTAGCTGGGATTACAGGCATGTGCCACCACGCCTGACTAATATTTGTATTTTTAATAGAAACAGGGTTTCACCATGTTGGCCAGGCTTGTCTTGAACTCATGATTTCAAGCAGTCTGCCCACCTCAGCCTCTCCAAAGTGCTAGGATCACAACCATAAGCCCCCGTGCCCTTCTATTCTCCTGCTAATTAATACCTTGAATCAGACTTCTCAGCATCCCTCATGAGACCTCATTTCTTCTTTGCCTTTGTTGATTCAGTATGCTGTCTATACTGGTGTCTGTGTTGATACCCTTTGGTCCTTACTGCCAGAGCTTTCCTTTCTACTGTGTGTGGATATGTATGTGCAGGTAAATATAAACCTGTAGAGAGAGGCACACTGCTTAAAGACAACCATTGAAGTCCTAAGCACATAAGTGGGAAAACGAAAGACACTAGCTTCTGTATCACTCCTTCACTGTCTCTAGCGTTCCAGCTTCCAGCTGGCAAACATTTCCAGTGTGTGTACTTTCTACATTCTGTCTTCTACCCAAAACAAATGTTGGCATTACTATGATTAGGCAATCTGTGTTTTAACCATCTTGGGTTTCACAGTGCCTGGCAGATAGTTGCCCAAATGTTTATTGCATGATATGTGATGCTCTCTGGATAGTTCTTTATTTTGCTTATTTCCTTTCCTTCTCTCATAGCCTAACTCTGAGCATTCTTCAGAGCTCTCTGATTGGCTCTTGATTTTTTGTGTCCTCACTGTCTCTGCCCATAGAGAACTTTGCTACTCTCAGCATCCCAACTGCTACATTTCTGGATGTTTCCTACATCTCCATTTCATTTCGTTTTCTCTCATTTTCAAGGCTTTAAAGTCTACCTATAACATATTTGCTATTATGTACTAGGTATACTTATTATATATTAATCTTTGTGACAAAATACTATTAAATCTGTTTTATAGATGAAGAAACTTGGGTTTGGAGGGATGACACAACTACATAGGGACCCAGAGCCAGTAATTATTGAAGGCATTACATGAAGTCACTGGACTTGATTATTCCCTGACTCCTCACACACAAAACCTAGAAATAATGTAAGCATTAGGAAGTATGAAGCTTTATTTCTGTTACAGTTGACTCTGATGTCGGGCTATTTTCTGCACCTGTATTTCATCATTTAGAAAATGAGTTATTTAGGATTTGAGATAGAAATCTAGGGTTGCTTACAGGATAGGATCTGTCAGCTAGTTCTGTACTTCCAAGAGCCAGGGCTGTTCTCTACTTAGATATATTAATAGAATTATCCTACCATGCACGTGCTCCTTTTATTTGGTTAGGATTTAAATACTAAATCAGTGGATTTTATATAGGAGATAAATTATTCCCTCCTCAAATAATGTAAATTTTTTTGTCTTAATGTGTTTGCATTCTGTTAAGGTTAATTTTTGTCCATTGACTTAATGATTTTTAAACAACTGTACAGAATTCATTTGTTTAAAAGAATTTCTTTCTTAAGCTTTATGTATATAACCCAGAAAGACATGAGTTGGTTCACTTCTTTCTCAATTATTTTAAGTCTATAACCATTGTATCTCTCTTATATAATAACTTTATAGTATTAATGTGTTTTTAATCATGGCTGAAGAACAATTTTGATGTTATTATCTTAACCTTACAGTGTGATATATTCATTAGTAAAGAAATGTAATGAAGACTTTAGAATAGTCTACATTTTATCTCTAAGTATATTATTATATTCATTTTTTTTAACACACATTCTAAAGTGGGGTCTGATTTTTACCTTGGATATGCTCTGTATAAAGGTGGCTTTTCTAACCTATATATAAAATGATGTTTATTTTGTTTTAAATAAAAAGCTAAGACTTTATTGGATAATTATATCAATTTAAAAGGCTAATTTCGTTTTCTAATGTAAGGGTAATTTTATCGCCAGAAAGTATAAAAAATAAAGTACTTTTTCAATTGTCATTTATCCAATTTGGATTATATACAACTATTATTTCAGGAGATTTATTTAAAACAATTTTATGTACAATATTTCAATTTATTTTTTTCTTTTTGTTGCAGGAGCTAGAGTTAATGCCAAAGACAGCAAATGGTTGACACCTTTACACAGAGCAGTTGCATCTTGTAGTGAGGTATGAAATTTCTCTTAGTAAATATATTGTATATGAAAACATTAAATAGGCATGCCTGTAAATCCATATTCAAATGCTGTGTTTTCAAAACAAGGGAAAGCTACTGACATACCTAGACTGGTCATTTTACTTTAGAATTTGTACAAACCAAGTTAATCCTTTCATTTCTTCTTTTGTTTATAAGGCCTTTTGCAGTCTGAAGTGGCAGAGAATAGGAAACCCTATCTCTGTCCCTTCTACAAGAGAAATCATTTTTCTGTCCTACATAATCTTCCTCAAGGCTTTTCTCTACTGATTTACAGTAGTCTGTTACAAAGATTTCACTGATTGTGATCAAGAAATAATTTCATCAGTATATAATAATTAACTGAAATTCTACTTAGCTAAACACTGAAATTAGTTTCAAAACCATTACTGGATTACACATTTTACCAGTTAAAAATATAAAACTTTAAAATGTGTGAGAAGGATTACAAGGAAGAATAGTTTCTTCTTGTTTATAGCCCTATATGTTGTTTGCTTGTCAAGATAACTGACACTTTTAGAAAATGTTTATTATTTGCAGAGTATCTTTGTATTTTTTGTATCTTTTAGTCCTGAGGACATCTTTGTAAGATGAATATCTTGAGGAAACTATGTAGTTAATGATTCATGAAAAACTACTCAGCTGGTAAATGATAGAGAGGGGACAAAAACCTGGATCTTCTCTTATTTTTTTCCCCTGTCATTTTACTTTATAAAGTGTATTTGGTGCTTTTTGAAAATGCATTGTGTCCAAAGCACCCCTTTTGCCGGCTTTACAATAGTTGTAGCTTGTTGCAAAGCTTCAAAAATAATTTAAAATACAAAAGCATGTGATAGTATAAGTTTGTTTTCATCTAGTATTTCTTTAGTTATTCAAATTGTGAGGTTAAGAAAGGAACTCCTAAGTGTAGCTACTGCTTCTGTCTATCATGGGACTATGTAGTTCAGGAGAAGTAAAGGGAACTCTAACTAGAGCCTCAGGAGAAACTATGGAGCTTCTGCCTCTTTGTCCTTCTTTGTAGTCTTCATTGTGAACCACATTTTGGACCCTGAGTAAGAGCTGGGCAAGTGAAGAGTCACAAAGGTGAAATGTGACTGGGAAGGATTATAAACCCTCTAATTAACAGAGGCAATCTATTAGCTGTAGCCTCCTAGTTAGGAGAAGAAGGGAGGGGTGCAGTTGAACACACAACCTAACTCTGAACTGGGTCCTTGATGTGCTATAGTTTATGAACTTACGGAACTTACATTTGGAGACACTGGCTTCAGTTATTACTTGTAACTTTTCAGTTGTGTGATGTTGGGCAAGTCTAGGAATTATAAAAACTAAGACATAGTAGCCAAAATACTTTGAATTTTGAAAATCCATTTTAATGCTATTAATTTTGTGGTTAGCTTTCCATAAAGATGTTTCTTTTTAATAAAACCAGTTAAGATAAACATTACTGTTACTGGAACATATTAATGTTAGCCATACCTATGCATTTTTTATTAAGACTCGGGATTGTGGCTACTGAAATAATGTAGTTTACCAGATTAAGTCATAAGAAGGTACACTTTTTATATTTGCAGAAGTTGTAAAACAGACCAAAAATTATTAAAGAAAAATTAATGTTGGAGGAAGATGGCAAATTCTGCCAGAGACTTAACTCCTAATTTTTAAAAAAGTATGTATTCAGCCTGAATTTAAGGGCATGTTGTAAGTCAGAAAGCAAATAATCCTAGTAAGTTTCTTAATTCTGCTCTTCAGTCTAAAAATTACAAGGCAGAGCACTAAACAAAAATACAACCAAGAACCCTCAGAGAGTCCACTTCACTCTCCTGCTACCTCCCCTGGAGCAGGTGCTGGTATCCACAGCTGCAGGACCTGAAGACAGATCACATCACAGGACTCTACAGACACTCCCCAGTACCAGCCCAGAGCCTAGTAGCTCCACTGGGTGGCTAGACCCAGAAGAACAAAAACAATCACTACAGTTTGGCTCTCAGGAAGCCCCATTCCTAGGGGAAGTGAGAGAACACCAGATCAAGGGAGCACCCCATGGAACAAAAGAATTTGAACAGCAGTCCTTGAATCCCAGATCTTTCCCTCTGACATAGTCTAGCAAAGTTAGAAGGAATCAGAAAAACAATTCTGGTGATATGACAAACAAGGTTATTTAACACCCCCAAAATATCATACTAGCTCACCAGCAGTGGATCCAAACCAAGACAAAATCTGTGAATTGCCAGAAGTAGTCAGAAGGTCAATTATTAAGCTAATTAATGAAGCACCAGAGAAAGGTGAAGTCCAACTTAAAGAAATTAAAAACATAATATAGGGTATGAAAGGAAAATTCTTCAGTGAAATAGCATAAATAAAAAACAGCCACAACTTTTGGAAATCAGGGACAAACTTAGAGAAATGCAAAATGCACCAGAAAGTCTCAGCTGTCGAATCTAACAAACAGAAGAACTGCAGACAGACCTCAAAGATGGCTTTTGAATTAACCCAATCTGTCAAAGACAAAGAAAAAATAATTTTTTAAAAAATGAACAAAGCCGCCAAGAAGTTTGGGACTTTGTTAAATATCCAAACCTAAGAATATTTGGTGTTCCTGAGAAGAGAAATCTAAAAGTTTGGAAAACATATTTGAGGGAGTAATTGAGGAAAACATTCCCAGCCTTGCCTAGAGATCTAGACCTCTAAATACAAGAAGCTCAAAGAACACGTGGCAAATTCATCACAAAAAGGATATCACCTAGGCAAATAGTCTTCAGGTTATCTAAAGTCAAGATGAAAGAATCTTCAGAACTATGAGGCAAAAGCATCAGGTAACTTATAAAGGGACACCTATCAGATTAACAGCAGATTTCTCAGCAGAAACCCTACAAAGCTAGAAGGGATTGGGGTCCTATTTTTAGCCTCCTAAACAAAACAGTTCTCAGCCAAGATACCTAGCTAAACTATGCATCATAAATGAAGGAAGGGATACAGTCTTTTCCAGACATACAAATTCTGAGAGAATTCACCATTACCAAGAACTGCTAAAAGGAGCTCTAAATCTTGAAAGAAATCCTTGAAATACTCCAAAATAAAACCTCCTTAAAGCATAAATCTTACAGGACCTATATAAAAATAATACAATTTTTTTTATAACGGGTATTCAGGCAACAGGCAACAAATAGCATGATGAATAGAATAGTACCTCACATCTTAATACTAACACTGAATATAAATGACCTAAATACTCCACTTCAAACAACTAAAAGATACAGAATGCCAGGATGCATAAGAATTCACCAACCAAGTTTCTCTTGTCTTCGGAGACTCACCTAACACGTAAGGACTCACAGAAACTTAAGGTAAAGGGATAGAAAAAGATATTCCATGCAAATAGACAACAAAAGTGACCAGGAGTTGCTGTTTTTATATCAGACAAAACACACTTTAAAGCAAAGCAGTTAAAGCAAAGCGGGGCATTATAGAATGATAAAAGGACTAGTCCAGCAGGAAAATATAACAGTTCTAAATATATACGCTTCTAAAACTGGAGCTCCCAAATTTATAAAACAATAACTGCTAGTCCTAAGAAATGAGATAGCAACATAATAATAGTGGGAGACTTTAATACTCCACTGACAGCACTAGACAGGTCATCAAAACAGAAAGTTGGCTGGGCGTGGTGGCCCACGCTTGTAATCCTGCACTTTGGGAGGCCAATGCAGGCGGATCATAAGGTCAGGAGATCGAGGCCATCCTGACCAACATGGTGAAACCCGGTCTCTAATTAAAAAAAAAAAATATATATATATATATATATATATATATAAATTAGCTGGGTGTGGTGATTCACTCCTGTAGTCCCAGCTTCTCTGGAGGCTGAAGCAAGAAAATCGCTTGAACCCAAGAGGCAGAGGCTGTAGTGCTCCGAGAGCATGCCACTACACTCCAGCTTGGTGACAAAACAAGACTCTGTCTCAAAAAAAAGCAGAAAGTGAACTAAGAAACAGTGGACCTAAACCATACCCTATGACAAATGGACTTGACAGATATTTACACAACAGTTTACCCAACAACTGCAGAATATACATTCTATTCATCAGCACATGAAATGTTCTGCAAGATAGACCATATGATAGGCCACACAACAAGTCTCAGTAAATTTAAGAAAATCCAAATTATATCAAGAACTCTGTCAGACCATAGTGGAATAAAATTGGAAGTGAATTCCATAAGGAAGCCACAAAATCATGCAAATACATGGAAATTAAATATACCTGCTCCTGAATGATCATTGGGTCAAGGAAATCAAGATGGAAATTGAAACATTCTTTGAACTGAACGATAATAGTGACACAACCTATCAAAACCTCTGGGATATAGCAAAAGTAGTGCTAAGAGGAAAGTTTATATCACTAAATGCCTACATCAAAATCTGAAAGAGCTCAAATAGACAATCTAAGAGAAACAAGAACTATCCAAATGCAAACCCAACAGAAGAAAAGAAATAATGAAGATCAGAGCAAAACTAAATAAAATTGAAACAAACGAACAAAAACAGGAAAGATAAATGAAACAAAATACTGGTTCTTTGAAAAGATAAATAACATTGATAGACTATTAGCAAGATTAATCAAGAAAGGAAAAGACAAGATCCAATTAAGCTCAATTAGAAATGAAATAGGAGATATTACAACTGAGACTACAGAAATTTAAAAGATTATCCAAGGCTAATATGAACACCTTTACTCGCATAAACTAGAAAAACTAGAGGAGATGAATAAATTCATGGAAATATACAACCCTCCTAAACTAGGAAGATAGAGACTCTCTGAACAGACCAGTAATAACAAGATTGAAATGGTAATGCCAACCAAAATGCCAACCAAAAAAAAAGCCTAGGACCAGATGGGTTCACAGCTGAATTCTATCAAACATTCAAAGAAGAATTGGTATCAGTCCTACTGACACTATTCCAAAAGATAGAGAAAGA